TCTTGGAAGTGGATACTAGATTGCTTAGCTCAGGGCAATCATTTATGGAAAAATCAGTTGAGAGCCATTAAAGTAAAAACAAAGTTAATATAAGTGGGTTTTTATCTAGAGAAAATATTTTGTTCATTCACCAGGAACCTTAACAGTGGGCAATAATCCATTAAAAACAAAAAAAAGATTAAATTAAAATAAATACAATAAAATAAATTATAAAATTCAAATAAATAAACTTAAGCCCTTACATTTATACACTAAAAGCTATTTTTAAAGTATACTTTGTTTTTAGTTTTTTTTAAAAAACCTTGCTTGATCATGGTGTCTCCCCTGCCAGGTAAGTATAATTGTCATGATAGAGCCTCCGTCCAGTAACTGATGGAAGCAGATGCAGAGATCCACAGCCAAGCACCAGGCTGAGCTCCAGGAGTCCAGTCAGGGAGAGAGAAGAGGGATTCTATGAGCAAGAGCATTAAGATCATGATGGGGAAACTTACAGGGACAACCAAACCAAGCTAATGGGAACTCCTGAACTGTGGACCAATAGCTGTGGAGCCTCCAGGGGACTGGACTTAGCCCTCTGCATAGGTGAGACACTTGTTTAGCTTGACCTGCTTAAGGGGCCCCCTGGCAGTGGGATCAGGATCCATCCCTGGTGCATGAGCTGGCTTTTTGGAGCCTAGTGCCTATGGTGGGACACCTCCCACAGCCTTGGTGCAGGAGAAGGGGCTTGGACCTGCCTCAACTGAATGTACCAGGCTCTGCTGACTCCCCATGGGAGTCCTTTCCTTGGAGGAGGTGGGAATGGGGGATGGGTTGGGGAGGAAGGCTCGGGGGTGGGAGGAGGGAGGAGAGGGGGATCTGTGCTTGGTATGCAAAATGAACAGAAAATTTCTTAATAATAAAAAAAGAAAAAACTTGGTTTTTATATTATGATTATTTGTGTTGTGTGTGTATGTGAAAATTGTCAGTGAAAGGTGAAGCCAACATACCAGAGGAGCAACAGTGCGATGTGACTTGGGAAGACCAAGCTATTATGAATGAAACGGGGATGAAGATGCATTGAGAAAAGAGCAGAAAAGACATAGATATAAAGGAGAGCTACACGGACAAACAAATATTTACAATGCCAAAGGAGTCCCAGAGAGATGGGACCAGCAGACAGGTAATCTGTGAGCCTTGCTGTTATTCATAACTGTACAGAAAATCTGAGGACCCACTAAATATAAAGTATATGCCACCATGCGAAGGTTAGCAGTGTGCTGGATACTAACGGAGATAAAAGAAGAAATACAATAAGACTTCCTAATCTCTAAGAACTTATTATGACTGAACTCTCAGCTGGCTTTATCATTTTTAAAATTTTAAAAATCATGCACTCTCTGGGAATTTAAAACAGATGTTTCTCCTACAGCAAATAGGACTTACGCTGTTTATTCTAAACTGTGTATGATGTTTAGGTTTCCTTTTGGTCCTCCTCTTCTTCATCTTCTTTTGTGACAGGGTCTCACGTAGCCCAGGCTAGTGTCAAGTTTGCTATGTAGCTGAGGATGACTTTGAACACCTAATCCTTTTGCCTTCATCTCCTGAGTGCTAAGATTAGAGGTGTACCACCATGTCTGGACTTTCCCCATTTAATTTTAGAGGATACATATTTTATAAAGGTATTTATATATATCTTTCCTTTTCTTTACCTTCATAAGTCCAGGTATGATTTAGCAGTCGCAAGAGGAAATCTCTTTGGTGAGTGCTATTAACTGGACTCCATTATCTGAGATATTTGAAAGCATTTCTTAAGCATTTTTGTTTGTTTCAATTTTTTAGATTCAATGCTATTTTTGTTCAGCTGTATCTTAGTGGGAACAAATAATCAAAATAAAACTGTAATTCCCATTCTCACCTCTCAGAACACAGTTATGCAACAAAGTGCTGTATTGAAACTATAATTTAAAAAGTGTATTCCATTAGAAATACACCGTGAATTGTTAGCAAAATCAAAACTGACCAAGTGAGATTGCATAAAACTAAATGCTTCTACACTGCAAAAACTCAATAGAATGAAATGAAAACTTGAAGACTACATAGAATGTGAAAAGATACATGTTATATATCAATCTTAGAAGGATCTAGAATATATAAGGAGCTATAGACTCTCAATAGCAAAAAAAGAAAGCCCCAAATCCCACTTTCAAATAGTAATAGGTCTAAACAGAAAAATTTCAAAACTGTCACATGGCCAATGGGGCCATTAAAAATGCTAATATCATAAATCATCAGGGAAATTCAAATAAAAGCCACAATGGGATATCATTTCACCAGAAGAAGAATGGCTAATACCAAAAAGAGAAAAGGTAACGAATGCTGGTGAAAATGTGGAGAAAAGGAACTCTGGTACACTGCTAGTGAGAATTTAAACTTGTATACACGTTGTACCTTACGATTCTGAAATCTCACTGCTGGGTATATAGTCATAAGAAAGTAAGTCAGATATCTGAAAGACATGATTACTGCAGTACAGTACACAATAGTCAAGAAATGGAATCAAACGATGTCTATCAGCTGATGAATTACTAAAGAGATATCGGTAAATACACTCTGTTGGTTCATATGTTGACACAGACTAGAGTCATTTGGGAAGACAGAACCTCAATTGAGAAAATGCTCCCACCTGATGGGCTTTTAGGCAAACCTGTGGACATGTTCTTCATTAGTTATTGATGTGGGAGGGCCTAGCCCATTGTGGGTTCAGCCATCCCTGGAAAGTCAGTCGTGGGTTCTATAAGAAAGCAGGCTGAGCAAGCCAGGCTAAGCAAACTAGCATGCAGCTCCCCTCCATAGCCTCTGCCTCAGTTCCTGCCTCCAGATTCTTGCCCTGGGTTTCTGCCCTAACTTCCCTCAGTGATGGAATGTTACCTGGAAGTGTTAAGATGAAATAAACCCTTTCCTTTCTAAGTTGCTTTTGGTCATGGTGTTTTATCCCAGCAATATAAGCCTAAAATATGTACATGATGAAATACTACTTAAGGAACACAAAAGATGACATATTGTCATTTGGGACAATGTGGATACAACTGGAGTTCATTATGTTGCGTGAAGTACGCCAAGTACAAAAAAAAACCAAACAAGCACCATGTAATTGCATCCATATGAAAAAGATAATAAACAAAACTGATCTTATAGAAGCTGAGAGCTAAATGCTGGCTACCTAAGGCTGGGTACAGTAGGGGAGAAGGACGAAGGAAGGAAGGCAGGTCAACAGATAAGAAGTCACAGATAGATAGTAGCAAGAAGTGTTTGCATGTCATTAAAAAGCAGAATAGTTACAATGATAATGTAATGTTCATTTTTAAAGCTAAAAGGAAGATTTTTTAAATGTTTTCCCGGAAAGAAAAGATATATACATGAGATCATTATGTTTACTCTGATTTGAACATCGTGCAATATATTTTTAAATTCTGTCTTATCATGCATGCTTGCACGGGCCATGGTGCCTGTGTTGAGATCCAAGGACAACTTTTTGGAGTCAGTTCTCTCCTTCCACTGTGGATTCCAGGCATCAAGCTCAGTCAGTCAGGATTTCATGGCAAGTACTTTTACCATCTGAGCCGGCTAGCCCACCATACCACACACGTGTAATATAGACACATATGTACAATTATTATGTCAATTAAATAATAAATATTTAAAAACATAAAAAGAATATGACGTGAGCTGTACTTTAAATATCTAGAGCTACATTAAAAGCTCCTCAAAACAGAAATCTGTTTCAATAATATATTTCAGTTAGAGCAGTGGTTTTCAACCTTCCTAATGCTGTGACCCTTTAATACAGTTCCTTATGTTGTGGTGACCCAAACCATAAAATTATTTCATTGTTATTTCATAATTGTAATTTTGTTGCTGTTATGAATCATAATATAAATATCTGATATGCAGGATATCTGACATGTGACCCCTGTAAAAGGGTCATTGGACCGCCAAGGAGTCACGACCCACAGGTTGAGAACTACTGATTTAGGTGAATGCGTGAAAGTGTTATATAATATTGTCTTTTTGCAACTTGGCTTGGGTTTTTTTTTTCTTCTTGGACAGGAAGAAAGTTAGTTGACGTTTATATATGGACTTAAGAAAGTACAATTCTCATTAAACATTATTGCATCCCCAGGGCCTCTGATTCAGTTGCACAGTGATATATACATACACACACACACACACACACACACACACACACACACACACACACACACACATACATATATATATGTGTGTGTGTGTGTATTTATGTATGTGTGTATGTATGAATATATATGCATATATGTATTTCCAGTTGAATTGCAGAACAGATGACTCCTACCTCTATCCCTAGTGAACGATTCAAAATTGGTTCACATTTCTGGCTGATGTTAGGATCATCTAAGGAATTTTTGTAAGATTATCATTCCTGGAGTCTGTTTCAAATATCTGGTGAGTTGGGCCTGGAAATCTGTGTCTTTAACAAGGACAGTAGGGGAAGATGATGAACCTGGTCTCATTTCAGGACTACAGATTCATTTTGTCAGTATTCAGTCAATCCTGCCCAACCCTTGACCATTTAGTAAGGACTTTCTCATACTCATTCTGCTACTGTTGAGTTTGATTAAGAAGCGAGATCTAATGCCCACGTGCATTTAAGGAGACAATACAATAAGAGCTTTCACATTAGCTAGATCTTCCTCTAACTAACTCTACTGCTTTTCTAGATCAATCTGTGTGACTGTGCACATGATATAGCTATCAAAATATTCCTGAAAAGCTATCAGTTCAATGATAGTGAAAACTCCAGTAGCATGTGTTCCTATGTTAGTCACCAAGCAACCTATCAGCAGGGAAAGCTAATACTGAGAATACAAAATGCAAGTACAATACAGAGAACTGGAGGCATGAATTGGTGAGATTTCTGAGATATTAGTGAATTTTAATGTACATCATTGGAATTCATCTTGGTATTTCAAATAAAAATCACTTACCCTTGACCAATTTTTTCAAATCTTGTATATTTTTTCTTTGGGTCCCCAACACTCACAATGCTTCCTGAGGGCGTGGGAAGGGAAAAAGAAAGATTGAAACTGATTGATTTGCTTTTAACAGGAAAAATGGTGACATCAAAGATATGGAAAATATGCTTTGTTTGTTTGAAAATACACTGAAATATATTAATTAAAGTGGTGATAATAATCCATACTGCATATATTAAAAACTGCTCATATCTAGGAAACAAAAAAATGGACTGAACACAACCCAGCACTTACAAAATTTTCTCATAAAATAAATATCATAAGAGATTAAAATAACTAAAAATCATACCCATGATTTAATAAAACATTTTTTCTGAATTAGAATAAAGACAATAATTCCACTACATTCAGTTCTGTAAGATGAATACCTATATTAAGTAATCACTGTTCCCTAGGTCTACACTAAGGAGATGGCATATAGGGCTGGGTCTAATGAGTAAGTGTTGTCATAAAGTAGGAAGACTCATAATTTCCAAAAAAAATACATCCCTTAACTTAGCATTCTACTAGTGCTCCAAATATTTGACCAGAATTACTGACATGTGATTTAAACATCACAAAACTCAGTCATTTAAAGTATACAGTTCAATGTTTTGCGTGTGTGTGTGTGTGTGTGTGTGTGTGTGTGTGTGTGTGTGTGTGTATGTGTGTGTGTGTAGTCCATGCATGTGTATGTACTCATTCATGTATGTCTGCTCATGGACATGTGTGTGCATGTGTGGAGCCCACAGGTTCACATTAGATATCTTCCTTTATGGCCCTCTACCTAAGTTTCTGACATAGGGTTTCTCTCTGAACTTAGAGCACACTGATTCAGCAAGACTAGCAGGCCACTTCCCACTTTTGCCTCCCTAGTGCTAGGGTTACATGCATGCACCACACACCCACATTTTAAATGTGTGCTGGAGATCTGAACTCAGGTGCAGCAACCACTTCAATGGGTGACTCATTACTCTCACCACTCAATGTTTTTCAAAAATGTATTTCAGACTTGTAAAAACCTCACCATAATATAATTTTTTAAATTAATCGTTTTTAGGGCTAGGGAGATGGCTCAGTATTTATAGCACTTGTAAGCATAAGGACCAGAGTCATAGCCCCAAGAACACACATAAAATGTCAGTTGGACATCGGGGCCCACCTATAGGTAATTCCAGTGCTTAGAAAACAGAGATGGGATCCTGAAGGAAGGGGCTGGCCAGACTACCTGTACAAGGAACTCTAGGTTTAATTCAGAAACCATGCCTTGGTGACTAAGGTGAAGTGACCAAGTTAAACTCCCAATGTCAACCTAGAGCCTCTACATGCACCTGCACACATGAGTACCTGCACAGACATATGTGTCGTGTGAACACACACATACAGACACAACACACAGACATCAAAGAATAACAACAATTAAACATTCCACAAGGAAACATTAGACATATCACCGGTTACTTTTTTTGTTATTTGAAAGCAGAGTTGGGGTGTAATGTCAATATTTTAACATAGGCTAATGCATGGAGGTTCATAGCAAAAGAGGGGTACTGCTCAGAAACAAATGTTGGCTTCTCTAAGAGATAGGCATACTTCATTTGTCTTTAGTTGTGTGCAAGATTTGAGTGGGATTTTGAAGCTGTTATCTTCTATGCGTTCCTAAGAAAGCTAAATGAGATGTACCTGACAGGATGGCAGTTGATAAGATGGAACTCTAGATGGCAGGGCTGCAGGAAGGTAGAAGATCTTCATTGTAGGAGCAGTCATTCTTATCTATCCCTAAGTACTCTTGAAAAGTTCCTCCTCACTACAGGACCAAGCCCAGATTCCTTAGTTGAACACAGTAGGCCATCCATCATCCAGCCCCATCTGGTTTTTACCTAAGGAGGCTGAGTAGCAATTATTCTTCTCTTGTCTTTTCCCTTCCCATTTTTTATCTTAGGAATAGTCTTACCATCTGGGAAATAGCTCTTTGCATATGCCTCTCTATTCTCCTTTTAATCTAAGTTATGACTTCCTAATTACCACCTAAACATAATCTTACAGCATCATCCTTTCCAAAGTCTTCTATGATCACTGTAATGAAACAGACATACTTTTGTTGTTGTTTTTTCAAGACAGGGTTTCTCTGTGTAGCCTTGGTTATCCTGGAACTCGCTCTGTAGACCAGGCTGGCCTCTAACTTAGAGAGATCCACCTGCCTCTGCCTCCTGAGTGCTGGGATTAAAGGCATGTGCTATCACTGCCCAGCTAAACTGACATATTTTTATTTGAAGCCAGCAAATCTGTGTTTTCATCCCTTTAATTTTGGGGCCCAGTGCAGTGGTTACCACTGAACAAGTAAGTGAATGAAAATAAGAAAATATATATTCAAACAGAGTACAGTATAATATAGACAATACCTTACACTAATTTACATGGCTGTGGCCTAGTGGACAACCTAATTAAAACCTAATAATCAACAGTAGACATTCAGAAAAAAATCAGCTAAATGTTTCAATTATGGATTATGTATCAGGTTTGGGATTTACCATTTCTGAGGTTTGTTTGGTTGAACAAGGATAACCTTGAACTTCTGATCCTCTTATGTCCATCTCCTGGGTGCTGGGATGACAGGTGTGTACCACTAGACTCTATTAGTATGGTGTTGGGGCTAGAACCCATAGCCTCAGGAATGCCAGGTAAGCACTCTACCAGTTGAGCCATACCCCTGACTGCTGGGTTTTGGTCTTTAATTTTTGTCTTTATTGTTTGACAGTTTCATGCTGGTTTTGTTTTATCTCTTCCCCCTTTCTCTCTTCTTTCACTTTACTTTGGTAATGGATGCTCCTGTTTTAGTTGGGTTTAGTAAGACAGACACTGTGAGAGTTGTTAAAATTCATTTGCTCAGGCAGTGGTGCCATCAATATGTTCTCTCAGTAGTCTGGTGAGACATCTGAGAACGGTCTTTGAGTCATTTCTTACATTCACTCCTTACATATGTTGTTTACTTAGTGCTGGGTCTGTATCTTTCTCTTCCTTGACTATTTTTTCAATTCACTCCTTCCTTAATTCTGCTGCTACTGTTGGACTCCCTTCATCCTTTGCTCCAACATTCTCCTAACTGGACTTCCTTTTGCCAGGCTCTATCATGGCCATCCAGGCTCTGCCCCTCTCTCAGAATGCTTTAAATAAAGACCTCCAGAGACACCTGACATCTATAGGGAAGGCCCAATATCCTTGGCATGGAATGCAAGGATCGTCATGATCTGTCCATTGCGTCCTTTGCAACCACAACCTTATGCTCTGACCACATAAAATAAAGTGTAATTCCTCATCAGCCCCTGCTTTGCAGTAACACTTCAGTTGCTTCTTCTACACACCACGTAAAAACCTGTAGTAGTAACTCCTTTAAAAATATATTCTTGCCAGGTGGCGGTGGCGCACACCTTTAGTCCCAGCACTCAGGAAGCAGAGGCAGGTGGATCTCTGTGAGTTTGAGGCCAGCCTGGGCTACAGAGCGAGATCCAGGACAGTCAAGACTGCACAGAGAAACCCTGTCTTATTTTCACTTCTTACGTGTGAGTGTGTATGAGTGTGTGTGTGTGTGTGTGTGTGTGTGTGTGTGTGTGTGTGTGTGTGTGTGTGTGAGAGAGAGAGAGAGAGAGAGAGAGAGAGAGAGAGAGAGAGAGAGAGAGAGAGAGAGAGAGAGAGAATGATGCCATATGTGCGAGGAAGGTACCCAGGAAGTCAGAGGAGGGCATTGGGTCTCCTGCAGCTGGAGTTTCCAGTGCTATAAGTCATTCGGTATGCATGCTGGGAATAAAACTCTGGACCTCCGGGAGAGTCACATTTTTAAAAAACTGATGAGCTCTCTATCTTAAATCCGCTTTTTTAGTCTAATTGTAGGTTTTAGGTGTGTACCTTCAAGTCTTTGTGTACATTACTTCCTGACATTTGGGCTAAGATCCCGTGAAGCCTTTGCATGCTATATTCCACCTACAACATACTTTCCAGGTTTTCCCCACAGCAAGCTCATGTCACTTCTTCCAGGAAGCCTCCCATGATTACTCTGAACAAAGTTAATAACTTCCTTTTTCACTCCCAAGCACTGTCTTTCGTTGTCCTTAATGGGTCATATATCACTCTGGCATCACTTTTTCAGTTGTTTTAATGACAGAAGCCTAGTCTTATTCACCTGTATATCCCGTGTGACTCCTTATACAGCACAAGCTATAAAAACTAGCAAGTATTCAGTAAATGCTTGTGGAATTAAACACAAGTAAAATCAGGCATTCCCCTTTTTAAAAAAATGTCCATGGTTCAGGAAAAGTTGAAAAACATATTTTATTTTATTTGAGCTATGTGTCTAGAATGCCACCAACTTAGTGATATGTGAGTTGCTATTTTATTTTTCAAATTGTCTAATGGATGTCCACATCACTAAATCCATCTTTTTCCAAGTCAGTTATTAATGGCTAAGTGCCTGGATCTGTTTTCTTCTTTTGATGAAATTATGATTTTTAAAGTCACTTGAAACCAGAGCCTTATGAAATGGTTTATACTTTTCTAAGAACGTTTTGCTATGAAGTTGCTGAGCAAACTCTTTTCCATAGGCTGATCAGAAAGCAAATAAGCTTTAGTTCAAACCACTTTCTGAATTGCAACCAATCCCAATTGGCAGGGTTCAGTTAATGAGGCTTTATGGTAGTAAATTATTCAACCATTATTTCCATGGAATGCGGTGTTTAAAAAAACCTGGAAATGAACCTTTTCATAAGGATTACTAGGAGACAACCATTTTGATGAGATTTTGCTTCAGAATTGAACTGCTGTCCAATTAAAATGGTGTCCCCACACCCGCTACCCTTCACCAGAGAGTGTGTGCTGCCATCTACTGACGGTAGACTAGCATGCATGCAAGAGGCGTTTACAATTTCAGTCACAAAACAAGCTTTTCAAGTGATTGCTTTCCTTAGGTCCATTACAATTTGCTTTTATAAATCACATCAAAGAAAAGCAAAACTGTGAGGACATAGTTGAGCAAAGAGTAGATTAGTAAATAAAATCTAGTGGAGAAAAAAAGTGATAGAAATATCAGAGTCATTCCCTACCAACTAAGAAACAAACCATTCATTTTAAAGTATAACATTAAAAAAAAAACACACTAAATTCTAGAATTTGAAGATGGGATTCATGTTGTGGCTTCAAAAGAAAAAAGGGCCCGTCAATATATTTTCTGCCATATTAAGCTAAGCTGGATTCTTGTCATTAAGAGGTTATCCTGTGAGCATGAAGGAGGGTTTTATTTGCTGTTTTTGTGTTTTTTATTCTGGAGGAAGAGCTTCATAATTCTCTAAATTAATTCTAATGGTCTCTGATGGTGAGTTAGGACAAAGAATTTGGAGCATCGAATGCTAAGGAAGGGAGGGCAGTGGTTCTGGGGCTTGGAGGAGGGGGTTAAAGAGAAATGTCCTGTACTGCACAATTGCGTTGGCTATCTGTGCCTTCTGAAAATGCTCACTAGCGTGTAAGGGTCTCTTTATTTTCCAACAGACCCAGACAGACCACAATGAGCAAGCCAGGCCTAAGCTATCTGTCTGTGTAAAACTGAAAGATGATCTGTCTACTTTAGCTATTAATGATTCTTTGGTCTGGCCTCTACCATCAATATCTGAATGGAAGATGAATTGCCTGGTAAGTCCGTGGTTTGGCTTGCACAATTCCTAGCAATGACATTCTTGAGGTCAAAGATGAGGATGATTAAATAGAAACTGTTGTTTCTTCCTCATTCTTGAAGGGTTCACTCTGGAGTAGGTGGCAGGTCATCCCTATAATTATCTGCATTCTTTCCCCCTTTCTTCTGTCTCTCAGCAGTCTCCTCCATTCCTTCCTTAAGATTCATTTGCGCCGGGGGCGGTGGTGGCGCATGCCTTTAATCCCAGCACTCAGGTGACAGAGCCAGGAGGATCTCTGTGAGTTCGAGGCCAGCCTGGGCTACAGAGTGAGTTCCAGGAAAGGCGCAAAGCTACACAGAGAAACCCTGTCTCAGAAAAAAAAAAAAAGATTCATTTGCACCTTTGATTCCAAGAGCCCCAACGACTTCTGTACAGGGACCACAATTACGAGATTGTCCTACGTTATAAATATCTTATCTTAGTGGAAGGCCATCCCCATTCTCTAATGATTGCACAATAGTAATATAACAATAATTTTAAACTAATTATTGGGCTGGATATCTTACCTAACTGAATGCATTTATTTTGTCATGAAACTTTCTCTCATTCTATTGGGACTGTTATTATTACTGGAAGTTCAGAGAAAGTATGAGATTTCCCAAGGGATACAGGGTTTGGGCATATGACCCTGACCCCGTTATGACCATTCCAGTTTGTCCTGTTGTATCACATTACAGGTTTGTACTCTTAATAAAACAATGAGCATTTGTTCACTCCCCTACTATGAGCCAGACACACTTGCTGAGGTTTTCATGGGCATAATGCTATGAAGCTGGCATTACTATTATTATCCCAACCTTTTGGATGAAGAAAGAGAGGACCAGCAAAATTAAATAACTGGCTGAAATAGAAATAGCTACCATCTGTAGGTCTGTGATTTGAACCAAGGCCTTTCTGACTCCAACACCTGTCCTCTTATAATCCATCCTACAGATAAACTTTTAAAATGTACTTATGATTCTTATGCCCATTTCATAGGTAAAAGACTGAGATCGGACTTGTTTCTGGTTGCCAGTGGGCAAATGCACTGGAGGGGCACAGAGAGGATGAAGGGGGTGGGGCAGGATGTCTGAATTTGAGATATTTACTTCTTAAGAAGGCCCTTTCCATTTTCCTGTAAGCTTTCCTTGTCAAGATTTACAAACACAAAGGAAAGCAAGCAGAAACAGGAGACCTGCTTGCGAGAGGGAAAATGATTGTCTTGGGGTTCCCATAAAGCAGTATAAAGTCCAACAGAGAAAAAATTCACTTAATTCCTTTTTTTTTTTTTTTACAGTTTTCTCATTAAAACAGTTAAGGCAGCCCTTTCCCCTGCTTGTCCTGTTGTCCCTCAACACAGAACAAAATAAGTAAGCCAGACAGGTCCCAGCCTTAGCACTGCCACATTCTGTAAGCAAAGCTGCAGCTCAGAAAGGTGGTGCCTAGTTGTCAGCCGACTTCTGAAATGTATAAATCCATGTTCATGATAACGAGTGTTCTGAAGCTTGAGGGAGACACCAGAGAACAGCCACCTTTACTAATGCACGATGTCAGATTTTCAAAGACTAATAAAATCTCTTTCACAGTTCGTGTCATATGTACAAAACAAAGGAAGAGACTACAGTGATTCTCTGAAGCATTGAACTTCATTTTTCCTGGCTGTTCTTTTATCTCTCCCTTCTGTTCTATACACGAGTAGTTGAATTATGCAAAACCAAAGTGGCTAATGGCAGAAGTGCAAGCTTTAAAGGCATACAGATGTGAGGTCAGACTCTGGCTCCACCACTCATTATTCTGGTGACTTGCTCACTTAAGCGTTTTAAAGCTTTCGTTCAGTATTCTGTAAAATGAAGACATTAAAATCTACCATAAATGGTTGCAGAGAAAATTAACCCCGATAATGTATGGAAAGTGGCCACTCACCAAGTGCTCCTTGTGTAAGAATTATTGTGGCTCTTATTATAGCAATAGTGGACACTGGCACTAGAAGCATATTTAATCAATTATAGCAAAGTCAGTTTGCTAAAGTGTAACAGTTCCAGTTTTGAGTGCTTTTTGAGAGCTGCAACGTCAGCCTTAGCCTTCTCAAAATCTCTATTTCAGATGACAATAGTGCTGCATATGAAATATTTTGAATGCAATAGATATAAAGTAATAATTCAGTCCAAATGACAACTTGGCTGTGAAGGGGAAGGGAGGGGGTGTCGTGCACGTCGTATAATTCCTACAAGCATTTCTAGCCTCTATCTCCTGGATGACAGTAGTCCTATTTGAATTGGGAGACTAAAAACAGATAGCTCCCAGGTGGCAAAATGTCCCTATCGTCACATCTACAGTGCCTCCCTGTGGCCAAGAAATGAATTTTTTCTCTTCCCTCTGTTAGCTGCAAAAGGTGTGAAAAGTGATAGCCCCTTTATTCTTATTGTATCATGCTACTAAATCTTAATATACATAGAAAAAAATTAATAAGGCACTAATAAGAGTCAAACTGGGAGCACTGATTACTAATATCTAGCCATTCTGTGTGACTTTAATAAATACGATTCATAGAACCTTGGCATTTTTCAGGGGAGAACCTATCTAATAATCTTGAGTCTTAAGTATATGAGCGAAAGCATGTATACACCAATGCCACCTTGGAAGTCGTCACTACCATTGGCTAGTCTGGCATCCCTCCCCACAGATAAGGGAATGCTACTTTATCTGTGACTGCAAGTTTTCATGTACTCTCTTGGACTTCAGGGTTGAGTTTTAAAAAATAAGTGCCCTTCAGATGGGAACCTTCTGGTATGATCATAAAGTATTTTAATCAGAGTACTTTAATTCCTTTTGGGAATGCAATCTTAAAACTTACTAGCTTAATACATTTTGTCGAGTTTACATCTTCATTGAGCATTCTAAATGAAAATGCTTAGTTTCTCTCAGACTAGGAGTATGGGGGAGAGACTAACCTGACTCATATGCACAGTAAGTCCTAAACATTGTAGTTCATAACTTAAGGGATCCTAGAATCTGGCAAGCAGAATCGGACAACTAAAGGATCAATTCTCCTTCTAGTCACTGTACAAGAAGTACTTTGCTAAGGAAAAATACTCACTTAGCTTCTCTAGGATCTCCTCATCTGTCATCTTGGATTTTTTCCTTTGCCGATCTGTATTCCTGTACAAAGTGCTGGAATTGGCATTCTCAGCAGAAGGTGGGGTGACTTCTTTATTTGGTGCTGCTGGTGAAGCAATAGATTCAACCACAGAACGAGTATAGATCTGAAAGACAAACGCCCCGCCCCCAATTCCACAATTAATACAGTAGATAAGGAAAAGCATGGCCCGAAGGCACTCTCACCTCACTGTTGTTAAAGAATATTAAGAAATGTCACAGACTCTAAAAGCTCTGAAGTCCCTATCCATGAGCTTGCTAATTCTAATCTCGCTGCCCCTCCCTTAATAATTCTTCCTATCTGGTTCATATGGATTTCTTGCCTTATTTCCACCTCTGCAGTTTTATAAATTTGCAGTTATGTGTTTTTTATTAGCAAATCATTGAATGTGATAATCTTGTATCTTCAAATTCCCTGGGAGACCAGGAAGCCTTTGTGACTGCTGAGTCATTCCTCTAGCCCCTAGGTTCATATCTTATACTCTAGCTCTAGGAACACAAGAGATGCACAACAGGTATTAGATGATTTACAATATTCTAAAAATTACAATCGAAATGAAACCTTCATGTGTATATGTTGTGTGTGTTTGTGCATGCACACACATGCATGCAAGCACATGTGTAGCATTCGCATGTGAATGCCAGTTGATGTCACTCAATTGCTCTCTGCCTCATTTTTAGAGACATAGCCTCTCATTCAACCTAAAGATGGCTAGACTGACTCGCAAGCAAGTCCCAGGTCCTCTTGTCTCTGTCTTCCCAGCAGTGGGATTTTAAGCATATGCTGCTGGAACTGAAGAATGGAACTCATGTCCTCAAGCTTGTGCAACAAGCACTGTCAACTCAGACATCTTCCCAGCCACAAAATGGCATCTTGCTTTAGTTCTTTGTCTTGTTTTGAACCTGAGCCTTACTATGTAGCACGGCCTGCTCTAGAACTTTGGATCGTATGCCCTCAGCCTCTTAAATAATGGGATTAAAGACATGTGCTACAGAACCTGTTCCAAAAGGCATCTTTTGAGTGATGTTTTCTTGCTGCTGTGGGATGTTCTGTATGGCAAATGTGTTGCTCTGATTTGGTCAATAAATAAAACACTGATTGGTCACAGTGGCTAGGCAGGAAGTATAGGCGGGACAAGGAGGAGAATAAAGCTGGGAAGTGGAAGGCTGAGTGAGAGACACTGCCAGCCACCATGATGAAAAACAGCATGTGAAGATGCCGGTAAGCCACGAGCCATGTGGCAAGGTATAGATTAATGGAAATGGATTAATTTAAGCTGTAAGAACAGTTAGCAAGAAGCCTGCCACGGCCATATAGTTTGTAACCAATATAAGTCTCTGTGTTTACTTGGTTGGGTCTGAGTGGCTGTGGGACTGGCAAGTGAGAGAGATTTGTCCTGACTGTGGGCCAGGCAGGAAAACTCTAGCTACACCTTGCTTCAGTGGGATTTTTACTAACAATGCTAAATATATAAACGTTTCATTCTATTCAAGTTACAGAAGCATGTACTTTAGATTTGGGAGGTAGAGCCAATATTAACATGTTCTGTCCATTTTGTAACCTGATAGGTTTACTTATTTATCTGTATGTTCAAACCCTCCTTTAAAAAAAATATCATTGTATGTATTCATTGTCCATGGTACCAAGTTATATAAGGAAGTTTTCAGCATATGTCCTCCCACATTTATCCTTCCCTTTTGCAAGTCTCCTCTGTCCCATTATTCTAGACTGTTCCCCTAGATCAGTGGTTCTCACCTTCCTAATGCTGTGACACTTTAATACAGTTCTTCATGTTGTGGTGACCCCAAACATAAGAATATTTTCATTGCTACTTTATAACTGTACTTTTGCTACTGTTAGGAATCATAATGTAAAGATCCAGTATGCAAGATATCTGATATGCAATTCCCCACCTAGAGGTCATGACCCATGAGCTGAGAACCTACCACTGCCCTAGATAGTTTTACCTTTCCTTGCAGGATATATTATGTGTGTGCGATGGGTGATGCCATTCTGTATGTTATGAATATGTGTTACTCTGATTTGTTGACAAATAAAGCTGTTTGGCCAATGGTGAGGCAGAATAAGGGTAGGTGGGACATTCCAACTAGAGAGAGAGGAAGGAGAAGGACAGAGCAGGGAGACACTGCTAGCTGCTGCCATGAGAAGCAAGATGTAAAGGTACCGTAAGCCACAAGCCACGTGGCAAAGTATAGATTTATAGAAATGGGTTAATTTAAGATGTAAGAGCTAGCTAGCGAGACACCTGAGCCATTAGGCCATACAGTTCATAATTAATATAAGCCTGTGTTCATTTGGGTCTGAGCAGTTGTGAGACCACGGGACTGCAGGAGCCAGGCAGGACCAGGAAAACCTCAGCTACATATATGTGTATCTATGATTTTATGAATCTATATAAAAAAGGAAACCATAATAAATGAGAGAAAACATACCATATTTGTCTTTCTGACTTACTGATTTTGTATGCTCTGGTCTTGGTGCAATGACAGGTGGGGGTTCATTGTCATCTTCTTCCTCTTCCTCTTCTTCATCCTCTTCTTCAGATACAGGGGGAGCCAAAGGAGGCTCAGAAGCTGTTTTTGTATTCTTAGAACAGAAAAAGGTTAAAGACAAGGAATTAGTTTTTCATTATTTTCCTTTAGAAACATAAAAACAGAGATGAAATACTTAAACATGTAGAGATAGGATGGAACTATACTACCATTTACAGTAGTCAAGACCAGTGCACATCAGAGATGAATTGGGGTCATGTTAGAATGGACCATGAAGTCTATATTATTATTTTTATTTTTCATGATTCACTTAATATTTTAAAGTTTACTGTTCTTAAAATCAATGACTACATTTAAAATCAAATTAACTGACATTAATACTTTGGATATGTACTGAGTAGATTACAAATTTCCCAAATGATAGTTTGCAATGCTACTTTTTGATAACGTACTTACTGTAACCATGAGGATAGATACAGTTCTGCAAACACTAAGAGCAAAAAAGCCAAGAAATGTTTCTTCCTTGTTAAGCCTCCAGTAAAGCATAGACACTAAGTAATAGACACTAACATCCAGGGAACATGTACTCATACCAATAATTGCTCAATATTAAGTAACAAACAGGATACCTGTGATTTGTAATGATGCACAAAATATGGTAATAACAACTAATAGTATCAGTCGCCACAGTATGTAGCGTCCAAGTTTGTTCGTTCATGTTAACACTGTGGGAAAATGTTTGCAAACTTGAACTTTGAAGGAATCAAGGCCGTGGTTCTCAAAGAGTAGTTACTAGCTCTTCAGCAGCAGCAGCAGCAGCAGCATCAAGAGATTTGCTAAAAATGCAAATTCTCAGAAAATTTCACCCAAATCTATCAATCAGAAACTCAGGCATTTATAAATATGTATTATAACAAGACTTATAGGTAATTCTAACACGGGTTCACATAAAGTATGGTATAGGTTTTGTATATGACATCTATCAGACACATGGATACTGAATACACAAAAACATAGCTAGTGTGAATTGATATGTGATTCTATATACTTGATATGAAAAATGTAAATTATTTTACTAATGAATTAATGATTTTACATTCATGTGTTAAATGACAGCATTTACAATTTTTGTGTATGCTATATGATGTATGGGTGCACGCACATGTGTGCATTCCTGTGTGTGTGTGTGTATGTGTGTGTGTGTGTGTGTGTGTGTGTGTGTGTGTGTGTGTGTGTGTGTGTGTGTAGGCCAGTGGAGCAAGTCAAGTGTCTTCCTTTATCTCTCTGTTGTGCAGCAATTTCCTTTGAGATAAATCTCCATCTTGGAAAGTTTTGTTAAGACATGAAATATTCTAACGGGAGGTAAAACATTCCTTCCTACTGGAAAACTCAAGCTCAGGAAATATGCAAAGGTTTCAGGAAATTCCTGAAGCCAACCAGATACACTAGGCCCCTCCTTCCTCAAGTGTAGATAAACAGTAAGGACTGCTGAGAGACACTCAGACAAATTGTGCTTCCTAGAAGAGGCTCAGACCAGCTGAGCCACCTGGAAGAAGCAGAGACCAACCAAAGTGTCTAGAAACAACAAAACCAGCCAAGCTGCCAGAATAGGCTCCGATCAACTGAGCCACATGGAGTGGATACTTTACAATCTGTTGAGCTGCCTCCAAGCTGTGCAGTGTGCTCCAGGTTTCCAGCTTTCATGAACTGTCACCCATGTCACGGTGGGCTTGGTGATGCTGTTCTTTTTGAGTCATTTCTACTCCTGTAAGCAATCCCTCACTTATATCCCCATAAGTAACCCCAATAAAACTCATTGGTTCATCAAGGTAGACTTTGCTGAGCTCCTTCTTTGGTCTCTCGTTGCTTCCCTATCCAGGGTGAACAAACACTTTTCTTCTCAGAAATAATGCCACACAACACACTCTCTACCTTATTGCTGAACCAGAACCAGTCTCATAACTGAAGCCAGACAGAGCTCGTTAGCTAGGCTAGAATGACTGACCAGCAAGACCCCAGAACCTGTCTTCCTCTAAGTCTCAGCACTACAGTGGTAAATAGGCATATGCCACGGCTCCTGAAGTTTACATGGGTGCTGAGGGTCAGAACTTACTCACTGTTTTTAATATTGAGGGGTTTTTGTAATAAACAATTTTAATTGGAAAATTTTGATTGTACAATGGCCCTGGGTTGTAGAAGGACACCGTCATACAAACACATAAGTTATTTTGAACATGTCCTCCCCCTCCCCGAGACCCTTCCCCCTCCTCTGCTCTCATAGACAGTTACATTTCCTGTTCATAGTAATTCCTGCCTTTCCTATCGTCAGCATACATTCTTTCTACATTTTAAGTTGATCATTTTGCCTCCACAGTAATGAGGAACATGGTTGGAATTATCGCCTTTGGTAACAACATTAGAAATACAGTCCATTATAGATAGAGTCTCATTTTATAGATAGCATACCTCTTGTAAAAAATGTGCTTCTTTCCCACTTGGTTTTGCACATTAACGAGAAGGTCAGAGGACATTTCTGTCACTTCTAATCTATGTGTGTTTTGTCTATCTGAGCCCACACTATTCCTGTTTCATTCATTTTCTCTCATTTGTCTTTTTGAAAAGTTTCATTTATTCTCTGAAAATTTCACATAATATGTATTGATCATATTTTCCCTTGCCCCAATTTCTCCCAGCTCCTCCCCTAGACCCCTACATATCCAACTTCATGTTTTTGGTCTCTTTTAAAGGAAGAAAAAAACTACACAAAACATGGATTCTAATTTGTGTTGCAATACTGTGTATGGGGCCTACACTGGAGTGTGGTTGATACAACCTGTGTTTTTTTTCCATTGAAGGAAAGAAATTTTCCCTTCTGTGCTAGGAATGAGACTGTGCCTACGTCTACTCCTCTATGCTGTTATTTATCTGTCTTGAATAAAATGTATCACTAAATTAATTTATCCATTTATTTTTTTATTTTAAAATGTGGTTACTAAAATACTTCAATTATACACATTTAGATTGTATTTCTGTTGAACAATGCTATTGTGGATGGGTGTTTTTAAATTTTCATTTTGCTTTCTCTTTGTTGTTGTTGTTTTTTTTTTTTTCTGTTTATGTCACTCGTTTTGATGGCCAAGTGTTCCTAAGGTGAATTTTCATTTCTTGAAGTCAGAACTCCTGAGGCATTTCACAAGTATCCTATTAACTAAAATATTACACTAAAGGACTTAAGTCTGTTTTGGAAATTCCACATGGAACCTTTTTAATCTTGTTAATATCTACAGTGGAGAATAAGGTATAATCATGTATTGGATATGAGCCAGCAAGAATTGCCTATTTTAAGGAGAATACTGTAGAACTTTTTCATAAGTATTTCAAAGAACTCTTGACTGCCCTGATATAGACAAATGGTGCATGCTTTAAAGACTGAAATATATGCTTGTTTGATTTTTTATGCATATATATTTATTCCTTTAAATTTAATTTTATGAAAATTAGCTTACCAAGGAACAGGTTTTCCCATGGCGTTTTCATATACACTTCCCTTTGGTTGATTCTCATCTCATCCCTGCCCTCCATCACCCTGTTTACCCCTGTTTTCATTGTACCCTTCCAACTCCGCTATTGCCTCCTCTCATTTTCATGTCATGTGTGTTCTATTTTTCTCTCCAACCTCCTTCCTTAATGCCTCATTTTCTGTTTTATGGGTCCCCTTCAAGTTTCTTGGCCTCAGTCCACAATTACCTCCATCTAAATATGCATATTGAATAATTAGAAGCTGGGATTCACATGAGGGAGAGAACATGTGGTTTTTGTCTTTCTGAGCCTGGATTACACTTAACATAACACTTTGTATTTCCATTGTCCTGCAAATTTCATACTTTCATTTTCTTTGCAGCCTAATAAAATTCCATTGAAATACCAGTTTTGGGGGGAATGATTGCTACAGAGAGAAACTGCTGTTGGATTATTGATATTTGCTTTGATATTATGCTACAGAAAGTTTTCCTCTGTTTTATGCCTGCTTATCAGTAATGAAGCAAATCTTGGAGTTGGATAGATCATTCAGTTGGTAAAGCACTCACCATATAAGCACGGGGACCTTATTTTGACCCCCAGCACTCACATCAAAGGCTGGGAATGATGGCATATACTTGTAATCCCAGCCCTGGGGAGGCAGAGGCTTGTGGATCTCTGCAGCTCACTAGCTACCCAGTGCTGTGGGATGGTCTGTATGTCAAATGTGTTGCTGATTGGTCAATGAATAAATCACTGATTGGCCAGTGGCCAGGCAGGAAGTATAGGCGGGACTAACAGAGAGGAGAATTGAGAGAACAGGAAGCTGGGTGAGGGAGACACTGCCAGCCGCCGCCATGACAAGCCACATGTGAAGATGCTGGTAAGCCACAAGCCATGTGGCAAGGTATAGATTTATAGAAATGGATTAACTTAAGATAGAAGAACAGTTAGCAAGAAGCCTTGCCACAGCCATACAGTTTGTAAGCAATATAAGTCTCTGTGTTTACTTGGTTGGGTCTGAGCGGCTGTGTGACTGGCGGGTGAGAGAGATTTGTCCTGACTGTGGGCCAGGCAGGAAAACTCTAGCTACAACCCAGCCTAGCCTAATCTGCAAGTCCTAGGTCCCAATAAGAGAGAGAGACCTTGTCTCAAAAAGCAAGGTGTACAGGTTCTAAGGAACACATCTAAGGCTATACCATGGCCTCTACATTCATGCACACGCACGTGCACGTGCACACACACACACACACACACACACACACACACACACACACACCCCCAGTATGCCCATACACAATAGAAAATTACTCAGCTATTTAAAAAATGAAAATATGAAATTCACAGGCAAATGGATGGAACTAGAAAAAAATAATCCTGAGTGAGGTAACTCAGACTCAAGAAGACAAATATGGTATATATTTGGCTGTATGTGATGTTAGCTGTTAAATCATTGATAAGCAAGCCACAATCTGTAAAACCACATAGTTTAAGTAGAGAGTGACTTGGGAGGAGGGAAGGATCTTCCTGTGAAAAGCAAATAGAACATATAGTTATGGATGGATGGATGGTGTG